CCTGCACGATGCCGCTGTGGCCGCGCACCAGCGGCTCCAGCACACCAGCGGCATACTGCCGTACGTGGCACGCACGCACGAACACGCACACACACGCACACACACACACGCACACACACACGCAGCTCATGCAACTGTTGTGTTATGTGCATCAGGGAGCACACGGAGACGGTGGAGCTGATCAATGGCGACTTCCTGGAGGAGGATTGGAGCGACGCTGATGTGGTGTTCTGCTGCTGTGTGACGTTCGGGCGAACGCTGATGGAGGGAATCGCCGAGCGGGCGGCCCGCTTGCTTCGACCCGGCAGCATCTTCCTTTCCGTGGGTCAGCCTCTGCCACCGCCACCATCTTCGCCATCCTGTCCATGGACGCTGGTCGAGAAGGTGTCTTGCGACTTCTCCTGGGCTTCGTGTAATGTGTTCATCCAACAGGTAACCTCCAAAGAAAAGAGGAGCTTGTGAATGTCGTGCCAGTGAGTGTAGCGAAGTATCATTTATTCATTTATTAATTTGTTTACTGGATTTTTAATATGGGCAATTATTTATGGGGAATGGCCCGTCACGTTGACAACCATTTGACGACCAAACTTCTCAACGCAACAAGATCACCTTCCCGACGCATCGGCGATTCGATTATTGCTGTGCATCTGCGGGGCGGGGCAGCTTCTTGAATCAAACTTGGCAGGAACCAGGTTAGGTGCAATCAAAAAGGAAGAATGTTTGCCTGGCTGAACAAGATAGGAGGGGAGGGAGGATTCTTGACCTTGTATGCGGGCAGCTTGATTGGTGGCCGTGGCAACGAAGAAGAAGAGAAGCAGAAGAGATGGGAGAAGGAGGCCGAGCGCTTCTACTTTCGAGGGCGCCGGCTGATAGCGGGCCACCGCTACTCGCAGCAAAGCAACCTTGCTCGAGACACGGCCAAGGGCAAGGACCTGCTGGCCCGTGCTGCCGAGATGGGCCACTCTCTCGCCGCCGTAGACCTCAGCTGCTGCGCCAAAGCCGTTAGCCACGACCAAACGCGCATCGATTGGATCAAGGCACGCCTCCCACCTCTCTGGGGCAATAAGTACATATATATAATAATAATAAATAGGTAATAA